CCGTTTTCGGGATTAAGGAAGCGCTCCCTTCCTGGCAGGAAGTGTTTACGGCTTGTGACATTCCCCTTTCACTGGGCAAGTCCCTGCCCGCCCCCTGGAATTTTTTGGGAGTGGCGCTGTACTAGTCACTCAGTCGGCAGAGAGATAAGGAGAAGACGCAGATTCCTCTGGCTTTGCCACCCCCCCCACCCCGGCTGACCACGCAGAGCCGCCATCTTGGAAAATGATCTGTCAGTGTGCCCCGGTCACCCCCACCATGACTCAGCTCCTCTCCGTCCCCAGCTTTTCTGATAGTGTCATAGCAGCTGCTTGAGGGGAGACCCCACCCACCATTGCTCTCTGACTCCCAAGCTCCCCCCCCCCCAAGTCCTAGCTCCCAGCTCCTTTCCTGACATTAAGCTGGTCTCCCTGTGAATAATAGAGACAGAATATTCCATCTTAATATAATTTGCACTGATTTACTAATTGAGCGCTTTGTCACAATCTCCCATAATTCCCATTATTTATGTTAAAGAGCTTCTTGAGAATAATGCACCATTTCCTGTGTAGAAAGCTCTGCTAATTGATGTTACCAGGAATTGATGTGTTACCTGGAATGGATGTGTACGCCTAGGTGCAGCTGGAATGGATGTGTACGCCTAGGTGCAGCTGGAATGGATGTGTACGCCTATGTGCAGCTGGAATAGATGTGTCGCCCAGTGCCTGTGCAGGCGGCAGCGGGAGGGACATTTGTCAGGAAGATGGGGTTGTTTTCATGAGGGAAATGAATGCCTGATTTGACTTGCAGCCCCATTAAAGGGATGCTGGCCTTCATGGGAGACTGGAAATGAACTGGGCAGTAATGGGCAGATAGGCGGTGAGCCGGGGGTACAGGGAAAATGACTTCTTATAAATTCTTATCGTTTTTAAAGGCCGGTCTTTCCAAATCCCACATTGATTGTAAAGTGTGTATATTGGTCTGTTAGATGCATCCCTTCCTGTGTTCTGTAGTAGTCAGAGGAGCCTCAAGAGGAAGGCAAGAACAAAAACATCGATTTCTTTTTTTAATGAGTGTTCCAAAATGGCGCCTCCTTATAAGTGTACTGGTCTTGGTTTTTAAAGTTTCGTTTTGGAGAATTTGTGTGGCAGAAAGCATCATGGGTAGCGACTTAATGTGGGTGTTCAGACATCGCTACCGGAGTTATCTCTCTGCTTCTGAATGACCGTAAGAATATGTGACCCAGGCATATGTACGCTGGCTTAAGAACAGTCGCTTTGTGTTACATGCTGAGAAATGAGTCAACGGGCCACTGCTGCAGAACGGTGTCTGTTCATGGGAGCGTCTTGTCCCGCCCCGGTCCCCCCAGTACTCGCTGGAAACCCCACGACAACACATGCAAACTCCACACCTGAAGCCATGGCGGGGAGTTAAACCTCGGTCCCGGAGGTGTGAGGCTAACCACTGCAGCACCGTGCCGCCCCGACCGGCATGTTAGCGATATTCTTCTCGTCCTCCATGCTGATGGCGGCGGCTGCTGGCACTAACTCGGTTAGTGGACCGGGTCCCATTTCCCGTGAGCTCTGAGCACCGGCGGCTGAGCTGCTCTCGCCGGCTCAGTTGGTAACGGGCCTCGCTCTCTTACGACATCTCCGGAATGGACACCAGCTGAGTCTTTTCCCATAACACTCAATGACTACTTTTAATTTCGTCATACTTATTTTATTACAAGATTGTGATTTTTGCCCATAAAACAGGAAGTCTGTGAGTCATGACAGCGTCACTCTGGAAGAGCCAGGCTAACCGCTATAGATTTCCCGTTCGTGACTGACGTGCTGGTCTTCAGGGCTAATCGACCCCTTGTGAGCTGGGCGGCAGACCCCTCTGAGTGGCCTGGGGGTCCCGTCCAGGTACAGACCAGCCGGGGGCACGAGGTGGGGGGCACAGCCAGGCACATGGAGGCGATAGCTGTAAATATTTCTCTCTCTGAACATACGCTCCACACACGAAGATTTATTAACGAATTACTGCCGGTGGGAGTGTGCGGTGGATCGTAATAGCGAAGCGAGCCTTTCCTTCTAATTTGCCTTTTCTTATTACCCCGCCATTCATCTCCCTCTGCCCTCCCCTGCGCCAGCAGCCCTCCCCAGCGCCAGCAGCCCGCCCCAACTCCAGCCCTTGGCTCAGGGAGCCTTTAATCAGTCTGAAAGCAAAGCTGGCAAATTAATTTACCTGGAGACACATTGGCTTTTCTTTCGTAATGACGAGTTTTCTTTTTGTCCGCTCCGACCCGACCCCCCCCCAGCTCATGACCGTGACACTATTGCCATTGCTGCAGTGCGGGATTTACAGCTGCCACATTGAAGTGGGGGGGGGGGTGGTTTGTCTGAATTTGTCCCCTCGTCACCTCACAGTGTGCCCCCACACCCCTCGGGAATGCAAGCACCCGTCAGCCTCCCTCTCTCTGCAGGGGCCTTGCGGTTCCAGGGTCTGCTTCGTGGGGGCAGGTGAGAGCCCCCCCCCCACTCTCCAGCTAGCGAGCACCGCGTCTGTTTGCATGACTGTTCATTTGTTGTTAATCGTAAGGGTTTGGGTGGCGGCACTGCTTTCAGAGAGGCTGGCCCCAGAGTGGCACTGGAGTCCCTGCCAGGGCTTTAATCACCATGGCCAGTGCCCTTCCCGCCTGCTCTTACTCGTCCTTTTCATCCCCCATTCTTCACCTTTATCTCCGCTTTTGTGTTTGCTCTTCGGTAACAGCTGAGGTCTTGCTAACAGGTATTGATTTGTGTTCTGAAATAGAATCGGCATATACTGTGCAAAATCGAACAATAACACAATAATATGCTGTAGATTGGCTCACTTTTAATCTTAGGGTACCTTTTAGCTGCTAATATTTGTTGCGCACGTTAAGGTGTGACTGCAGTCTCTCCTCGTTTTCCAGATGTTCCAGCTGTGTGCCAAACATAGACACTCGCCCCCGCATCAAACTGGTGCTTTCTCTTACATTTATTATTTATACTGATGTTTTTATCCAAAGCGACGTTTGTTTTTGAGGCAGCAGGGTCAGACTGTCCCGAGGCCTTTAATTGGGGCTTAAGGGTCAGACTGACCCTGGATCAGCTGGGGGCCTCGTACTGGGTCCAGTGGTGAAATCACTGAGCTGACCCTGGGACTCCAAACGGCGGCCTCCCCATCACAGGCGCGGCGTCCTGCCTAACCAGCAGCCCCTGCTCTTTGGCCCCCCCCGCTGGCCCCTGCTCTCTGGCCAATGCATTTTAAACAGATTAAAGAATTAACTTTACAACTGCAGATTTGTTCAGTGGTGACAGTGGGTGTATTTTCCCAGGCCAGTGACAGGAAGGTTTGGCTGTAGCCGCCAGCGACAGAACTCTGAGGGCTGGTACACGTGTGGACAGACACACGTCCGCCAGCACTAATCACTGGCAGGTTGTGGCAAGAGGTAAACATGACTGTCGTCGCATGACTGATTTGTTTGTAACTGCTTTGGTTGGGCCTGGATTTCAAATATTGGAAGAGGGAAAATATCAATTTGAGAAGGACAGCAGTGAATCCTGCAGAACTGCCTTTGGGTCACTGTCATCTGGACGTCGCAGCCAATGCTGAGTTTTAGGACCCTTTTTTGTTTGCGTTACTCGTAGATAAAATAAATATCTCTCTCGCTCTGCTGCACAGTGACTTTGGACGGCAGTGAGCTCTGTGTGGCGGACGCGCATTAAGTGCTCATGAAATAGATACACCGTAAACATGTCGCCTCACTTGGCATGGCTTCCCATTTCATGTTTGATCTGTTTTTATTTTCATTTTGCGTGGGATTTCACGGATCCGAGTTTTGTTGTGCTTCATGCGAGTGCCGGGGGGGGGGGGGGGGGGTGTGGGGAGTGCTGCTTCTAAACACAATTTGCTAAACATTTGATGCCAGCATGCTTCCCTGTTGGATCACGGTTATGCACGAGTCCATTTCTGTGGTGGGAGACACACCACGATTTGTGTTGGATCCCTTCCTGGACCGTGGTAGGAGTCTGCAATTACACTGGAGGGATGAATCAGCCAGTATGATTGGTGGACGGGGGTCTCGGGTTGGAGCTAGCTCGTATTTCCAGCCGTGTTTGTGTGTGTGTGCTTGTGTGTGTGTGTGTGTGTGTGTGTGTGTGTGTGTGTGTGTGCGTACATGTGTAAACAATGTCCCCATAACGTGATAAATATCTGTTTTTTTCCCTTATGGATACCAGGAAACCGGAAATAAGGGAAAACTCTATTTTATAAAAATCGATGACTGCTATGAAGAAATAAAAAATGCAAAAACTCTTGTATTTTGCTTGGTTACTTCTGTTTATGGTTAGGGCAGGGTAGGGCTTAAGGTTGTCATAGTTAGCGTTAGCATTTTCCCCATAGAAGTGAATGAGCGGGCCCCATAAGGATAGGTATACCCAACATGTGCACGCGTGTTTGTGTGTGCAGCGAAGTGCCGCATTAAACCCACCTGGTACCTTTACCTTCTGTATAACAGATACCCATCTGTTTACCATTTAAGGCTTAATCTCTGCAAGCTCTAGTCTTTGCACTGCCCTTGCAAATCCACAGTGAACTTTTCACCCCGAAAACTGGTACTCCGATTGACTATATGACACTATACGTCATTGAACGCGTGACACCTCAGTGGTGCAGACTCCGCAACAAGCCCAGCTGTGCGTTCTGCATGTTGACCGTGGCTTGAGTTGTCTTCATTACTCCAAATGGTTACTCGCTGTGTTTGTTCTATAGACAGATTCTGTTTCTCTAACGGCTCTGTAATGTATTCTCCGAAACGGAACATCTGTCATCCCAGGTGTGCAGAGACATCAAGCCCTTCATTCCGGGCATCCGGAAACCTCATTAGCGTCGGAAGGGGATGAGCTGTCGTCAGGGCGATGGCGATCTCTCCCATCTTAACGTTACGTGTACGGCTGGGCAGTGGGGGGATTGATGACTCGCCCTCCATCGCCTCTTCACCTGTTTATTTCAGGTCGTCATCCTCGAAGACTACGCCGACCCCTTCGATGCCAAACAGGGCGGCGGGAGCCAGTCCAGCCCAGAGAAGGTCACGGAGAACGATGGCTACATGGAGCCCTACGAAGCCCAGAAAATGATGGCAGGTAGGGTGCGGACTCCGCTCATCCCGCTGCTCTTGCCCCATTGGAGACGGTCAAGGCCGACGTTGCTTCCTGCTTGTGTTGTTTTGCGTTCATTCTAAATGCCGAGCTTGATGGTCTTGCACGTGTGTGCCTCTGTTACATGAGCCTGGAATGGTCATTCTGTGAGTGAAATGTTACATTTATACATACATGTCTATGTATGTGTGTTACATACACGGTTACATTTACAGGATGTGATGGTTGTTGCTTTTTTTCCTCAGTACAGCCTGTGTCTGTTGTTTTCTGAGCTCTGGTTCCTCAGTTTGACAGGTTTTTGTTTTAGTGCCCAAAATAACTGGGACACTGTAGGATCGTCTCAGAGTTTCTATTTTTGCGGGCTTATCCGTAACCCTTTTAAGTGGCATTTTATTAGATTTCTCTGTCTGTGGCAGGGAGTTGGGGTCATTAAATGTACCAAGAATCAGGTGGAAGTTTTCTCTAAACATGGAAATGCAAATGGAGAGCCGAAGTGTGACAGAGCCGGCCTAATCGGCAGCTACGCACCGGGCCGTTTCACGCAGCCATGACCGCCATCCGCCGGCGTCCATGTGGCCCTGGGCATGTCGTCCCTCTCGCCTACCCCCCTTCTCTCCCCAGCATGCTGTCAGGACCTTTCTGGGGACATAAGTTTACACAGCAGGTAACGCTGAATCTGAAAAGTCAAATAAATTAGGCTAATTCAATAATAAAGAGACTGACTGTGATGTGGCACTGACCCGACACATTGGTACTGGGGTGATATCTGCAAATAATGCTGCGTCTCGGGTGCTGAAGTAGGAAATGAATCAGAGATGTGGCCTAAGATTGCAGCCTTAGTGTGACATACTAGGTGAGAAGTGAAGGTCATGCGATGGCTGGATGTCCAGCACCGCATGTGTGTCGCAGCTGACATGTCGGCTGCGGAGTGCATGTATGTAAGGCTAGGGCTGAGTTTCCTTAAGCCTCAACACAGAAAATTATATGCAGACTAGATGTATGTTTTGCAAAGTCTGGTTAATTATTATTTTTTTAATCACAAACTTTAAGTTTTGTTAATTAATTACGTTAATTAAGTTTTATTTGTGCTCTATTGTATGTTTTGTACTGGAGACTGGTGTGTAGTTTTTGACTAGAATTGGGTAGGGGTATACAGTGATATTTTTATGATTTTGTAAATAATATTTAATTTGGGACCAGATTGCTGAGTTTGCACATTAATACATATTTCTGTTCATTTTTGTGAATGTTGTTACTGCATAAAACAAAGAAGCAGACTTGTGTAAATCATGCTGACTGTGAATGTCTGTCTGTAGTTAAGTGACATAGCGCTTGTTTGAGCCACATCACCGTTATATTTTCCTGTTCTTAGCGCCTTCAAACTGCTGCTACAGCACTAAATGCAGGTGGCTTGCTGTGTTAGTTTGACTGTATTGGTACATATATCTCATTTAATGCTTAGTAGCTGATAAAGGGGGGTAAATATTGTCTTGGTATCAGTTTCGGCAGATACTTAAAATGTTTATATCGGTATTGGGATTGCGGCAGAAAAAAATAACCGTGCCGTCTTTACACTCGTGTCCTTCCTGTTAGCTTTACTCTGCCCATTCTCCTCCAACCTCTCTCATTAACAAGGTGTTTTCCTCAGCAGACCTACGGCTGACTGGATTTGTTTTGTTCATCACACCAATTCTCTGTAAACTCCAAACACTGCAGTGTGTGAAAATCCCAGGAGGGTGGCTGTGTCTAAGATACTGGAAGCTCCGTGTCTCACAGCGGCAATTTCACTGCTTTTAAAATCCCATAGATCAGGCGACTTGGCTGCTGTGATGCTCAGCCGCGCGCTGCCTGCCCCCGACCCTCTCTGTCTGCTGTATGCGTTCAACTTCAGCCGCATGATTGTGTCAGCAAGCAGGTGTAGCTAATGAATTGAGCACTGAGTGTACACATCTAATATTGCACAGAATTTGTGTATGACAGGTCGGCAGGGCGGCTGCCTGGTGTGGGGGTTTGTGCCCCGCTGTGCCTGATATGTTGTGTTTGGGCCTGAACTTTCCCGGGAGGCTGGTATCCCTTTGTGTCAGTGTGAGTTCGTCGCAGCAGGAGAGCCCAGCCCGGCCGCCCAGACAGGTGCGAACGTCACATGAACGCCTATCGCTTCACTGTCTTCCAGTGCTGTCAGACCCTGCCTGCCCACTCTGTGATCGTCTGCAGATGCACACTCTGACAGGGAGTTACCTGTGTTACCTGTGAGTTACCAGACTGAAATAATCTGAGCGGTGTCCCACACATCCATCCATCCATCTTTCTTTCATCCAGTTGAGATGAGATGCCAGGCAATCACAAGGCGCACACATTATTGCCCATTTAAGGGCACCCGCTAGCCTGCTTGGCCGTTTTCTGGCGTGAATCGCTCACCAAGCTGTGAAGGAAGACACGCCATGACAGAACGGGTCATTTCGCATTTCCGCATTCCGGGGTGGCCGGGGAGGGGGTCACTGCGACGCCTCCTTATTTGTAAGCCCTTTACATCGGTTGTCGTGAATGCTATCTCCGGTCGCAGTCCCACGCAGGGACTCACCTCCCTATGCCTATTTATTTCAAGGGCGTCATGCGACTCCTTCCCGCCACTGCAGGGCTCTCGTCCTGCCGCCTCATGCGGACAGGCCTGCGTCCATCTGCCGATTCATCTGTGCCGGTTCTCTGGTGTCCATTTTAAATATTTGTCAAGACTTAGGGAATGAAATTTAATCTCTTGGCGTGGTGACATTAAAGCTCTCTGCTGTGACCAGCTTATTCTGTGTGTTGCTGCATAAAACACCTTCTTTTGTTTATTTCATAGTTAAGTGCCTCCTTTGGGTGGGGAATTGGAGAGCTATGCATTCAGCAAACGGCAATTTCGAGCAGTCCGGTTCAGTCTGTATGGAATGTGTTCGCCGGCCTCTTTGAAACCTCGGTATTGTTCTGGAGTGAGCACGTGCCGTGGTGTGCTGTAAATTCCCTGGTCGGCCAGCCCTTGGTTCTGCACAGACGCACGTTGCTCCCTCATCTTCCATTCCCCAGCAGCTCCAAAGCCTGCCTATGGTCAGGCTTGTTTACCAACCTGCTCCGGATTTGGTTATTGTGGCCCTTGAGCTATGCTGACAGTCCGGCCTTCTGCACACTGAACTCCTGCGAGCCCCAAGACTGGATGAAATGGAAAAGTAATTCCGAGATGCCGGTTATTCCTGCACTTCATGCCTTTGAATGCAGTGTGGAATGTCATCAGATGTCATTCTCACCAGTGAGGCTGCTGCTTCCGCTTGTGACGACGTTCCTTCTTGCTGGCCATTTGGACGATTTTAGGATGTCTGGATGGTGTTTGGAGCAGCTTGCGGGCCGAGCTGGAAAACAGACGGCCCAGGCAGACAGACGGTATCTTCCAGAGGGCCTCCCGGCTCCTGAATCTCTGTCCTGCTCACTCACGTTTTCTGTTCTTTCAGGCTTGGTGGGGGGACATTGCAGTATTGGTTCAGGGAAGCCTTCTTGTCATTTTTTTGTTTCCTCCTTCCTGAGTCCTCCTGGGACATGCAGACCATAGGAGTGATGGACTGTGGCAGCTTGAACTGAACTCGGGTTCCTATGCCGTTGGCTGGTCAGCCTCCACGGGCTCCAGCAGCATGGTCCTCAGCCTCCACGGGCTCCAACAGCATGGTCCTCAGCCTCCACGGGCTCCAACAGCATGGTCCTCAGCCTCCACGGGCTCCAACAGCATCGTCCTCAGCCTTCACGGGCTCCAGCAGCATCGTCCTCAGCCTTCACGGGCTCCAACAGCATCGTCCTCAGCCTCCACGGGCCACACTTTCTCCTAAAGCTTGTCCTTCGAAGGTTTACTGACAGCCTGAGACCCCCTTAAATCTCTCAGCGGTGCCGTCGGGGCTGCACCCTCAAGGGAATTCCGAGTTTCCTGATAAATGTCTCAGAAAGGTCACTATTTTAGTGGCCATCATCATACTGGTGACAGTAGACATTTCTATTCAGAGCTTTGGAGAATGCCATGGTTCTTGAAGCCCTCGACCGTCAGTGGAAATCAGACTAGCCTACGACTGGGATGTGTGCGAAACGGGACTGGGAGTTTGCTTAGCGCCAAGGGGAACGGCGTCCCTGTGCAGAAGAGGCCAACATTCCCCGGGGGGGGGGCTTGGGTGCCGGCTTTACCTAATGAGGCCCCCCCTCCCTAAGAACAGGCCGTCTCCCTCCTCCTTCCCTACTCCGTAACCCAAAGGTCACCCTGTTTGCTCAGCCCATCCACTTAGTGCCGGTTTATATAGTGACATTTATACAGGCCTGACCTTCTCCACTGGTAAGGAAGCATGCAGACTATCTGCGGTGATCTGTCCCGGTGGCCATGTGAGCCTGAAGCCGCCGGGCCATGGATGCTGCGAGGATATGCAGCACGCCACGCCATTATTTCCTGCGCCGGGCGCACACGCTTGCAGTGACAAACATGCACGCTCTCGGGAATTTGAGCTGATCTCCTGGCCAGGAAAGCCAGGTAATGGACACAATGAACACAATAGCTCATTGTCCCTTTGCCTCATTTATCCCTTTTATATGCAGTAATACTCACAGATATTTCGCTAACCGTACAGGTGATGAATTGTCCTCTGAATGTAGGCTAATGTTTTGCCTCAGGCTGCTCCGCGGCGCCTCCTATCTCGCCTTCCACACCGCACGTCTGCTCTCTACGATTCCCATTGCGGCTTTGCTTGGTCCCTCCCCCTCGTGCCATGCCTCTTATCGCTCTCGCTGGGCCCGCTCTGCCGCTGGTTTGATACGGCGCCTTGGGAAGCAGCCCAGCAGGGAGCCGGACCTCACCTCCCCGTTTGTTTGGTGGGTGATGGGAAAAGGGAGGGTGGGGAATTTGGGGGTGGGGTCCCAGGCGTCGGCCCCTTAGTGTTCTGTGTCATTGGTCACCAGAGCTCCGCGGCTGTTGGACTGCCTGG